TGTTCACGGTTTGGAAAGGTCAATGCGCGCGAAACTTTTTGAGATGTTTATTTAATCATCTGCATACTTACGAGTTCCTGAAACTATTCAAATTGTTAAACAATTGTTTTCATATTTTTTACACTTCTTTACATCCGGGTCCTATGCAGCGCTGTGTTCGCTCCATCAATTTAGCGTTGGTGCTAACGTAGTTGGGAGGGGCCACGCGGCTCGCGGCGAGTGATGACTCATCGGCTCTTCACTCATCGGCATACTTGAAACGCGAATCTAGCAGCCAAATCAGAATAAAACAAACAAGATTCACCGGGAACTTGCTGAAGAATCCCACAGAAGCTAAAAATTTGATTTTTTGTAGTCAACAATAACAGTCAACGACAAACATGCAACAAAATTTTTTGTAGTTTAGGCAAGAACCTTGCAGCCTAAAACTGTTTCTTTGCACTTTTCAGTGTTAACTGTTTTAACTTTTGAATATAGCTAGGGCGAAGTTATATTCATGTCCTAAACACGAAATTACTTCTATTTTGCCGAGGAGGGAGCAGAAGAGCAGATGAGTCATCGCTCGCCGCGAGCCGCGTGGCCCCTCCCAACTACGTTAGCGCCTAACTTTTTGTGCTGTTTTGCTGCCACCGACCCTGCGTTTACGACCGTCCCCTCACCCGATGCATTTCGCACAACCTCCTGTTTTTCATACATTGCTGTATTGCTCGATTTTCCCTTTTTCTTTCTTCCTAGCCCTTTAATCTAAATGCTGTTTTCTGCTGACGGGACGTTGCATTGCGGCAGAACTTTGGAGGATTCTAGCCCATATCAGCTTTCTCGTCAGCTCTACAGCAATTCCTTCCATTCCTCTTCCATTCCATTGTGTGGGTGGTATGGTGTGAACGTGTGTGTGAGTTGTGGTGCGTGGTTGTCTTTGTGGGCGTGAAAATGTTACCAAATATGCTTTTTCTATAGACCACACTGATGAGCCCATCTGTGCACTTGGCTGTCTGTGGTTGAGAGGGAGAAACAGCCTTTTCGTAAATCCGCATTTCCATGTTGTGATTTGTGTTTCATGTATTCAGTAAACTACTCTGCTTGTAAGGTGAGTT